GTTCCAAATTCCATCCTAATCCCTTCAGCCGTTTTGACGTGAAGGAGTAACAAGCAAACAGACATATGAACTTTTGCAATTATAATATTAGTTGGATGTCAGTACCTATGTATTTTATGTTTGAGTACAACTGTATGTCTCGTTGGTCGAGTAGATTGCAAGTGCGTTTGTCGAGCTAAGGATAACTGGTTCCTGGGTTGGACAAAGTAATCGTATCTTATACTATTACTTATATAAAGCGGAAGAGTTTGTTTTTTTGTTTGTTTGTTTGAACGCGCTAATCTCCGTAACAACAAGTCTGATTTGAATAATTCTTTTTGTGTTGGATAGCGCATTTATCGAGGATGGCTATAGGATATAAAACATCACGCTACGACCAATAGGAGCTGAGCAGAGCGTGTGAAACCGCGCGGAAATAGCTAGTCTTACAATAACATTACACATCTAAAAGTTACGTACGTCTGTCTGTCTGTTTGTACTCCTTAACGTCCAAACGGCTACTTGAACGCGGTCGAAGCCACTGACCGTAGTTAGTATATACATACAATCAAGGACAATAATATGTCAATTTGCCGCATATCTACCGTAGCATCAAGCTGCAATTTCCCAGAGGAGTAAGCACAGATATTGCTTGTTGTAATATTAATAGAGAAGGTAGAATATCAACATGTCTAGCCAGAGGTCATTCTTACTATCATGGCTCTTAGAAGACAAAATGAAAATGTAGTTTGGTTTCAACAAGAGAGTCGGGTATAGTATTATTAAATTAGTTGTTTGTGTCTTCTCTTTATCAAAATGAGTGCCCAAATTACCTTTTTCAACTTGCTTATCTATGTTTTTATAATAACAATCGTGAGACATACTTAATTAACTAAAAATCGCGGGTTAATCATGTGACAATACTGAGAAAAGCTCGACTAGTTTTGAGCACAGAAGTTCCACGAGGAGCTCTTCCGCATGAGCAGCGTGCGCGGTCACGGCGACCGCGAACTACAAGAAGAGCTTTTTTTTAGTACTTTCATATAAATAACCTGCGATTTTTAGTTAATTCAGTATGTCCCACGATTGTTATTATAAAAACATAGATAAGCAAGTTATCGGTGTCCGCCTTCTGTTTATAAAAAATATGATAATGATTTAAAATTGAGTTGAGATCATCATCCATCCACCTTAATTGCGTCTCTTTTTACATTTAACTATTGAACAAAATAATCAACACCATCTATCGAAATCATAAAGAACAATAGGTACCAATAATTCCATTTCAAAGTTTCGACAACCCTATCCATTAAAAAAAACTAAACCATTCCTAGTCTATGGTCGGTACACGGCGGAAGAGATTGTTTGTGTCTGCGTGTCGATGACAGAAATTATAGTTTTAAAGATAACACAGGTCCGGTCGGGATAATAAACTAGTCTTGGGTAAATTAATATGAGTTTTTACAAGTGTTTAACATGTTTGGATGGCTTTTTAAATGATATTTTAGATGAAATTTATGATCTCAGATACTCTTTACGTAATAAAAATTAATCTATACCGCCAATTGTTATAAAGAGGATAAATTTCAACTGAAATGAAATTATGAAATGTAATAACAACATTTATTTTATAATACAGGTAAAAATTATATATACAATTAATATTAACTATAACTTAATGAAAATATATACAACTTAAAATATAAATAACTATGAACTAAAATATTTACACCTTAAAAAAAGGTAATAATAAATAAATAAGCTATAATAAGGCATCAAAAAAAAAATTTTCCTCATCATTATCGTGAGGTAGGGTGCCCAAAAGACTGGCAGCATTACCACGTTGAATGGCAATGCTTAACCTTTGTCCAAAGTAGAAGCCAGCCCTTCGATCACCTGAAGTGTCAACCATCCTCTCTATTGAAATGTAATGATATTTATTTCTGCAAATAGGCTATAGGTAAGATTATTTAAACACCACTGAGATACGTGGCGCTTAATCCTCAAATCTTCTTCGTGCAAGAAGCGGCTTTGCTCAACAGTGGGCACTTATAGGCTGTTGATGATGAATACAAACATTTGATTGTCTTTTCGTTTAATAGACTCCATGACAGACAATTTCATGATTGATACAATATCGCCAAATTTACTACCAACACCAACTAGAATGTTGAACTCCATGCTATTACCAAAATATCCGACAAAACTTAAAAACAAAGTACCTAGGCAAAACACAATGTAATATAGTCTATTTCTTTCGACTAGAACGAAAAGCTACTTAAGGTATGGCTCACAAAACGACACACAAAACCCGATACCCATTTAAACACAACAAAACCGAAAATGGCGCCTACAATATTATGTAACCATATAAAGTAAACCAAAAACAGTCTAAAAATAAAGCACGTAATACAAAAATATCAAGAAAACACAAGATGCTTACAATTGACGAAAATTTACAATAGGCTGTCTGAGTTTATGCCTTTGCTCGCGGAATACAAATGCGACAGAAATAAATATTACAACTCTATTCGCAATATGGCGGCGCGCTGTGTCTTACAGTTCCCGCCAATATTATTATTATTGTTTCTTTTAAGACAGATCCATCGTTATTGTTTGGAGTGCTTTGCAATTTAATCTTACATTTTGGTAATGAACAATTTGTTTAATAAGGGATCGACTGATATATATACATGTTTTTATTTTCAATCACTGGAGGAATCATTACCTTCACGAACAGCGTTTGACAGTTTATTACTAAACTGGCGCTTCCGCGCGGTTTCACACGCTCCACTCGGCTCCTATTGGTCGTAGCGTGATGTTTTATGGCCTATAGCCAATCTCGATAAATGCACTATCCAACACAAAAATAATTATTCAAATCAGACTTGTAGTTACGGAGATTAGCGCTTTCAAACAAACAAACTAAAAAAACAAACTCCTCCGCTTTATATAATAGTAATATATAAGATATAAGATTTATATAATAGTTTATGAAGTATAAGATTACACTTCGGAGCGAAGAATCGGATCTTCGATTTATCAAATCCATTATAATTAAAACTCCTTTTACAACAAAATGCTCTCATTTTAAACGTAACTAAATTTATCTTTATTACGACATACGTTACCAAATAATAAAATACTTGTGTCACACAATATGTATCAAGAAACGAAAAAGAAAAAAGCTAGTGGCTTCGTTTTTTTTTCTCCAAGTGTATAAGCTTCTACATAAGACGGTTTGTTATAATCTTTACGCTGGTTGTGAGTAGAGATCGCAGTTCAAAAGGTTCAGGTTAACCAGAGAGCGCTGGTAACAGGTCTCTGTTTGTCGTCCAAATGTGTAGTCCCTAAGTCAAAAAGTCTAATATGGCGTCGTCGGTGTAGTAATAAAACTTTCGACAAAAATAAGAATTGCCCTTACTCAAAATATTAAATCTACTGCTTAAACTGTCAAATACCAAGCGGTCACCGGTGACCGCAACCTATTGTTCTATAATTGTGTCTACAAAACCGGTACTCGACGAGTTAAAATACTAACTTTCCGACAGGTACTTTAGTCTAAATAAAAATGACGAAACGATTGAATGAGATACTGAAATTTAAACGTGACTGTTTTATTGCTATAATACTATTTTACCAAAATAAATTACGTTCTACTGAAAACAATGATTAAACCTCTGTTGTCGGTAACTTAGTCTTTTTGTTGTTCAATATTGTATTCGGAAGTTTACTTTTGTTAATCGAAGATCCATTTTCATAGTCAGCCACAGATCGCTGGACATTAATTTGTTTTTCGGAACCATTATTATTTTCCTTGCCAAAATTATTACCAGAACAACTAAATGACTAATGTTAAAAAATATTAGTTATATAGTCGCCAATCAATATTTAGTCCGATCCCAGGATCAAAGCTTCAGAAACTTAGAATTAGAAATGCGTAAGTAATTCTGTTTATCTTTAAGGTTTTTCTCTTAAACTGTCAAATACCAAGCGGTCACCGGTGACCGCAACCTATTGTTCTATAATTGTGTCTGCAAAACCGGTACTCGACGAGTTAAACTACTATACCAATTTTGATGAAAATTGGCAGAGATATAGAATGGATTTTTGAAACAAATAAAAGCGTCCATAATGCCCAACAGCACTCTGCATTATCCCAAAGAAGATTATGAAGGAAAATAGCGTAGATTTTTACCCAACTGTAGGAAGGGTATTGTTTTTCGGGCGTATCTTGTTGTATTAGCTTCTACACGCGATTTCATCAACTTTAATCTCTTTACTTCTTTTTAATTCTCAAGATCAATTACCAGTATAGGTGATAAATGACACCTTTGCGTTGTATTTTTACCCGACTGTAGGTAAAGATACACGCAATTTTTCTTCATTTCACCAACCCAAGTAAGAAGTAATTTCTTGTCTACCGCCGCGTATTAAAGCCTTATGACGACGCATAAAACAAAGTCGTAAGCTGCACAGCCGATGTAGCTTCGTCTAATTTCGGGTAGACTTCGGTTAATTTCGTAAAGTCAACACATAAACGGGTAAATTGGTTTTTATGGGAGAAAAATTCGAAGTAAATGTGTGTGTAAACATTTTAAGTATTATATTTATTCGCATTACTTTATAGCTTTCCAGTTCTGAAAGGGGTAAACAGAGGGGCAGTTGTTAAATGTGTACCTAACATAATATCACGCCTTTTATCCTCGAAGGGGTAGGCAGAGGCATAGCATTATGCCACTGTACAATATAACACCCATCTTTCACTATTTATGTTATGAGTTCCATGTAGTAGGGGGTGAGCCTATTGCCACATAGACAGAAATAGTTATAGAATTCGTACTATTACTAAGAATTTCGAAAATTGAACTATCAAAAATGATCTCTCCTACTAGAGATCTAAAGAAAAACGTGTTAACTACAGGGTAACTTAAAAAATATATATAACAATCGTCACAACTCGTGAGTCATGACCCGGTCAAACATTTTAATCTTTAAAAAAGAAACAAAAAAGAACATACCTGACACAACAGCAGCCAAGAGCAATCCAAAAAGCGCGGGAATAGCAGCCATCTTGAAAATCACTTTTTCAAATCAACCAATCACAAAACACTTATAGGATTCGAAATTCGAACCAGCATACTAGGCGATGCGTTCGTTAAACGGACACTTAACCGGTTTGATCCAGAACTTTTTGTTTTGCCCACACTTGCAGCGAAAGTATTGCTGTCTCCTTCACTCTGTAACAAAAAAAAGAAAAATAAGGCTTTGGTTTATAGACATGGTGTGTTTATTTCATGTTACGTAATTTGAGGCGTCCAGTCAAGGTAGTAAGGAGGATTTTTTAAAGGGTTAACTTTGAAACTTTTTCATAAATATTTCTATCACAAACAGGGATATTTTTTAGTATATTTTATGATACAAAACATAATACTATTAATCTAAACATTTTTTTGACATCTAACAGCTCTAAGCTTTAGTAATCGATTCAAAATAAGATTAGCAATGTGTCAAAACGAAGCTATTGTCCAACGATTTGATTGGCTGTCGATAATGCAATCAACCAATCAGAGTTATTGACAACCATTTGACAGATCGTTTTCTAATTTCGAAGTTTGAAATTTAGAAAACATCGTGTAACGGTTACTATGCTTTAAGCCTGTGTTGTCAATGTCAATTGTTTGTTTTTTAACTAGCAAAGTCAAGATATATAGTGAATATGTCAACTTTAATTCATACAAAACCTTGTCCCAACAATACAGAATACGACAAAGAAAGAAATATTTAACTCAGTGCAGTCGTTCGGAAGTTATGCACGAATAAATATTATTTCTGAGACTCATCATCAACTATAAACTTGAATAAATCCCGTTTTAATAATACCTAGGTACACGTTTAATAATAATACACCAAGCAGTAAAATTAGACGCATGAATAAAATCTCCTGTCGTAAAAAACAAAGCAGGTTATACAACCTTTTCGAGCAACCTCTATCCCACCGGCCGTTTGTCTATGAAAGATGGACGCATCAATTTGGCGGGAAAAAAATTGAGGTTATATTATTTAGAAAAGGTCGATGGCACGGAGTATGACGTGTAGATGGAGTATTATCTTGTATGCATGTGAAAAATATGAATCGAATTTTATTTTATTGAGTGTAGTGTTATTAAGGAAAAGGTGGCGGTGTATTACCTATTTTGGTTTATTTATTGCTTTACTTAATACTCTTTTTAAAATTATTTCATATACAGTATGAATGACGGAATAAAGTGCGTATGGAGATATCGTCTAAGAGAACGTAAATTGAAAAATACAAGTGTTCTATTGCTAACTGACAAAACACGTTTACATTTCTTGCTACTGCTAATAGTCTCCTAAATTGACAACACCGCTGCTTTTCCCTTGGATATCATACGAACCAACAGAGGAATTGCACATTTTATTTGTACCGAGACTTGATAGCAGCCTTATCTGATGAACCTGAACCTTTTAAACTATACTTTCAAACCAGCCTCTTAGTTAAAGGCGTCCGTCCAGGAGCAGTGGACTGTAGGCCCATAATCCAGCAGTCACCGGCGATTGACAATCATGAGTACTCCTTAACGTCTATACTCCATGGCCAGCATTACGAAGTTGATTACCGGAGTATATTTCTTAGTATTTACTGTGTAACGTAATGAAGCAAGGAAGATAATATATAAATTGAGACGTTCTTGTTATACAAGAACGATTCTTTTGAGAAAAGATGGACTAAGTTCTTTATGAGGAGATTTAGCCATGCATCGTTGTTTATTAGAGAATAGAGATTATGACAGAGTGGTCGCAAGTGCGACTGCCGATTAAGGGGTCTCGGGTTCGATTCCCGGGTCGGGCAAAGTATTACTGGGTTTTTAATTTTCAGATGTAGCACTGAGTCTGATATTGTGCCCGGTGGTATATGGGACTCATAACATAAATAGGGAAAAGTGGGTGTTACATTATACAATGGCATAATGTGCACCTCTGCCTACCCCTTCAGGATAAAAGGCGTGATGGTATGTTATGTTAAAATAACCAATATCATTTTAACAGATAAAGCAATCGAACCGAGAATTAAAATAAAAGAAATCAGTATACATTCACCATTTAAAAATATTAAATTCCTTTTTAACGTTTTATTCAGCAATAAGATAAAAAAAGTTAGCACGATGTTTCAATGTTTCTGTACCGTCCCTCAAGCTACCATTAAGTAATACATTCATTTTAAACTTTTCCATTTAATTCTAACTGTTACCACGACACGAACAATTCAATTAGAGACCTAATGGACACTTGTGGACATCTTGCAAATTACAAATTATTAATCCAATTTTAATTTATACTTGAAATTATAACACAGTCTTGTCCTGTCCAGGCGACACACGTACTTAGGTATCGTCATGAGCTAATGTTCCCATGTAAACAGCAGCTCATGTAGTGTAGATGTCCAGTTTACAAGGATGTAGCGAGGTTGACTGTCCAGGCGACACACGTACTTAGGTATCGTCATGAGCTAATGTTCACATGTAAACAGCAGCTCATGTAGTGTACTACTGCATTGATATGAAACTCAGTACTCACCTATATTGTAAAGTCGGTGTATACCTAACATTCACGTCAGTGCATTGACTCGGTAACGTGTGTGTTTATTTGTATCTCCCACCCGTTCTCACGAACATGTGCGGTAGCGTTAGCAAAACAAATTTGAGAGAGCGGACCGCGTTGATTGAACTTAACTGTTTATTTTGTCGACGATACATCGGCTTTTTATTTAGATTTTCATGAAGTTTTACAGAGGATTTTCATTTTAATTGTGATTACAGTGTTGCGAGTGCTTTTACAGTAATATTTAGGAGCGAGGGACAATACTTGGACGAGAGTCGTGTTTCTATTTTAATTTTTATCCGTTCTTAATGATGAACTGAAATGGTTCTATTATTGTTCGTATTTTTATTCTTTTTGTAGTTGTTTTATAATGGTTTACACGGTAGTATAACTTAATATTATGATATTATGAAGATAGTTCATTTAGGAACTTAATATAATAATTCAGAAAGATAATAAAATAATATAATTGTAATGATTTCAGAAATAAGTAGTTTATAGATAAAAATAAAAAGACAGACGTAGGCACTAGTAAGTAGGCTACGCAACATCGTCGCGACAGCACCCGCTGCTTATTAGGAAGAACCCCTCTTGCTTATGTGACGACGTGCTCCATCGTAGACATCATCGTGCACCACCAGGCGAGATAGTGGTCAAACGTCGGCCCATCAAATATATAAAAAAAAAACTGGAAGTACCAGAGGAGGAGTGTTTACAATTGAATTAAAATACGCAAGACTTAACTGAGAAGCTTACTTATTTCTTAACTGACTCAATTAAGCTCTTAAATGATTGATTTCTCACGACTAGTCTTAGTACCTACGTTATGTATATCTGTTGGTAGATTTGGCTACCAGGAATAGAAATTCACACAGTCTGTATAGAGCCTGACCCTGTGTTACTAAAATAAATTTCGAAAAACTAAAAGAAAAACCTTTTTTTTATGGTATAAGCCGGTAAACGAGTAGACGGATCACCTGATGGTAAGCAGTCGGCGTTGCCCATGGACATGCGAATCACTAGAGGCGTTACAAGTGTGTTGTCGGCCTTTTGGGGATAAGGAATTTGAGGATTGTTGAGGATTCAAGTATCGGGGTAATCGATAAGTTTTTCTGACCCAGGACCGGATTTAAACTTGAGTTCCCTTGCTCGACAATCGCACAGATAATAATTGGAGCAACGAAGCAGACAATTACTATTCAATAACTGTAATATGTAGTGTAAGGTCCGAGTGAATAGGTTGCTTATGGGACGACGTGCTCCATCGTAGACCGCATCATCGTGCACTACCAGGCGAGATAGTTCAAACGTCGGACCATCAAATATGTATATATAACAAAGTTCATCAATTGATGATTAACTCGTCGAGTACCGGTTTTGTAGACACAATTATAGAACAATAGGTTGCGGTCACCGGTGACCGCTTGGTGTTTGACAGTTTAATCTTTGACTAATTTTAACCGACTACAAATAACAAGGAGGTTCTCATTTCGACCGTATTTTTTAACATTCTCAATTACTCATGTCAACAAAATATTAAGAGTTAACAATATTGTTTATACACAGTTAACGCCAACAGTTAACCGTATAAAACAAGGTTAAACATATTAACCAATCAGCGTCGTGCTGCTGACTGTACTGCGCGCGCGCATCCGGTAGCCGAAAATAAAACTGTAAGTGACAATGAAAAGTTATAAATTAATTTGTATTTTTGGTATTTGTTTTCAGGGGTTTGCTTGGGTTTTTGGTCGGTTTTTGGGTATTTATGTATAATGGGGACTGGAGGGCCTATATTGAGTAATGGACGTCTTATGGTTTTTTGGCTTGACACTCACTCCCGCCTATGTGTGGCGGGAGTGAGTGTCAGACGCTTACTGACTAAAAACCACCCCGTTCCTACTCCTGCACTTCGAGCCGGAGCCCCAGCAACATTTTACGATCTCCACGGCTCCGTATCGGCATTAGTCCTATTGGGTGGGAACCGTGGTGCTCTGATGGCTCTTGTCGGCGCGTGCGCCTTACAAACATTATAGATGCTCGTTCTAAATTGTAGATTCAAATAGAGAACAACTTTCAAGAAACTCCATCACCCTTAGTTCACACAATAAACAAACAAACACACACGTATTTGGTCAAATCAAAGTTCTGTTATTTACCTAGACTGTGTCACGTTCTACAAGTAAAAGTCCGGTTGTAATTTGTGCGCGGTCGACCGAAGCACGGACTGTAGGTAATAGTGGCTGGGCAGTTGGAACTATACGGGGTTATAGTTTGAGCGGTGACGATGTGAAAGAGCCTAACCGATGTAGATACCTAATCAGGATCATTTTGACTGCTTAACTGCATTTTTGCTCACTAGATGTCTGCTCACAGTATCATTTTGGTTGCGTACACAACCAGGACCTACATTTGCATTTTTGATCAATAGATGGCGCTAGTGTCGTGGTGGCCCGGAGGTTTAAGATGCTTCTAATGCATGGTGCGAGATCAAAACCTAAGGCAAGTACCAATATGACTTATCGCGAGTTATATGTCTAAGATTATTAAGACACCACTGACAAACGGTGAAGGAAACTATCGTAAGGAAATCTGGGCTTATAATTTTTAATTATAAGTT